ACATCTCAGTTCTAAACACCCAGCCTGCATGCTTTTCAAATAATCTGGTGTGATTCTTCCAGGTCCTCCTACAAAAAAAAAAAAAAAAAAAGCATGCATTTGCATATATTCCCTTCTGTCTCACAGCCAGCTCTTCTGTTTAACAAGCAAAATGTCTTTCCTGTAACCCTTGGAGCGCTTCTGAATTGCCACGGCGCCTGGCTGAATCGGAACAGGATTAGACGCTTACACGGAGACACCACCTCGAACGCAGACATCTCTTGGCAACGCTGACGTACAGGGCTCCAAAGAGCAATTCCCCGGTGATGAACATTCTTTCCTTCAGTCGTTCATCAAACAGTGATTGAGCTCAGGGGCTTCGCAGGAGGGATGTGGATATTAGGCAGACGCAGCCTCTACCCTCAAGGTGCTCCCGAGCATGTAAACACACAACAAAAGCTGTTGATGAGAGTGCAAACAGAAAGGCACTAGCTCTGTCTGTGGAGCTCCAGGGCGCTTCCCATGTCTGGTGTATGTTTGAAAGTAGCAGCGACCACTACCAGACATGGAAAGGGAAAAGACTGTCCCATGCAGAGGCTCTGTCTGGGCCAAGGCACGCAGCAGCAAAGTATATTGGAGGCAGATGACACCACTGTTTGTTGTGTGTGGAATGTATAGTCAGCAGTGGGGTCTAGGGAAGAGAAGATGGAAAAGCCAGGCCAGGGCAGGCAATTGTAGTTTTTGAAAGCCATCCACAAGAAGGCTGAACTTCACCTTTTAGCAAAGGGAGGGGCTGGGAGGTCTCTAGGTGGGTGTCTGAGGTAGGGTTTAGAAGATCCCCTGGTACATAAATGCAGGGAAAATGGGAAGGAAAGAGCTGGGGGATGGGAGATGGGTTAGGGAGGGCCCCACTATCTCAGGGCGAGCTGGGCTTGTGCCAGTGGGGCAGGCTTTGAGACAGTGATGCTTACAAAATAGTAATGAGGCAGCGGGGGCGGAGGGTGTTACTCCAGGACTCTTCCCTACTCGAGCTTTGAGTAACAGTGGTCAGCAGCCAGAGGTGTGTTCCTCTAGCAACACATCCATCTCTAAACACTCAGTGCTTCCCATGTCAGCACACAATGATGAGCCAATAATACAAGTGGCCACTCTTGCCTCCTGTGATTCTTCCAGCTTGTGATTCCTTCTAGATCCAAAGATTTCTCAAACTGACCATCAGTTAGCATTGGAAATGCACTGAGGGTGTCATTCCACCAGTTAGGAGCGCTCTTTGTAGGGAGATTGTGAGGGGATTTAGTGGTATAGTGATGAGTGAAAGCAGCATTGGGGTTGAGGAGGTCAGGAGCAGTGGGAGGAGTGCAAAGGCGGCGTTGGGTCACCCAGGAGATCTTTGTTGCAAAATACCTGAGCGGCAAAGCAAGGGATTGATCTCAGTGTGACAGCATCACTCTGTCACCACCACTGCTGTGACAGAATGGTAAAGCAGATGCTGGGGTGCTCTCTCCAGAAGGGACTGTTGCCCTAGGAAGGCTGCTAGGATGGCACCCTCTAAGCACCAACCTCCTTCAAACATACCTGAGTATTGAAATGCACAGGTGGGAGGGATGGGCACATCTCCCAGGGAGCACCACCAAGTCTGCCCAAGGAGTTGTCTGCACATTAGAGGGAGGAGCCTTGACTCTGTCCTGCTGCAGTCCTCAGGTGCTGCCAATAAGTCCAATGATGAGAAAGTCCTTCTGTGCTGGAAAGGCTGCAGGCAGGTGTTGCATTATGACTCTGAGGTAAAGCTGCTTTCCATGGCTGTGCGAGCCACACACTGGCCCACGGCGGGAAGGTGATCCTTTGAGTCTCCTCAGAGCAGCAACACAGCCAATAGACCCTGGGAACTTAAAACGCTGCTTTCTCGGGCCTTGCCCCAGGCCTAGTGACCCAGAGGGGCACCCTAGAGTTTCACCCTTCCCCGGCCCAGTCCTCTGATCCATTTATACTCCCTGCACTCCCAGGACGAGCAGGGCTCAGGAGCTTGGTGCTACACTCATAGTCGCCACAGAAAACCCTTTTGGAGAAACTGGGGCTGGGAGGTACTTGGTTGTGGATTAATGTGGGATCTGTTTCTCTGTGTCCAGTGAGGGACTCATGGACCACAGCTTCCTCGTGCCTGCATGTGCACATAGTACATCTTGTTTTGAGACATGGAGTGCCCTGAAGCTCTGTGTCTCCTTTGGATGGAAGCCTGGCCATTTCTGGGGTCACATGACCACAGTCAGGTGCACAGTCCTGTGCCTCCTGAGCTTGCCAGTCAACTGCAGAGAGGTCCAGAGAGGAAGAAACCAGTCTGGGGGGCTGGCAGTCCACTCCCAGGAACTATTAGTGGCCATCTTCATTCTATACATTCGCCTTCTGATTGTCTTTTTTTTTCAAGTGCTTCCGTGTTTAATTTAGATTCCATTCCAATTAAGCTCTCTGTGTGCTGTGGTTTCTCTCCTGCCAGGTTTAATTGCCCTTATTTCAATTCTTTAATTAAAAGTATTGTGCGTTTCCAGATCTTGTAGTTGTATTACACAAATACTCCAAATGACTGGACTGGTAAACCGGAGGCACTACAGCCTGCACACACACACATATGGCGGGGTACGGAGGGGAAGGAGAGAAGCAGCCAGTCTCAGCTTCCAGGTCCAGCCCAGAGCCATGGGACCAGCCAGCAGGTGCAGAGGGAACCAGACCAGGCTGCCCTTGAACTTACAGGGAGGCCTTGAATAAGGGAGGGACAACTTCCTTGTGATTCCGGTGGGTGGAGTTCACCCCCAAGGAGAGGGAGAGAATGGAGTCTGTTCATCGGGAGGACTGAAGGCTGAGAAGGATGGGAAAAGGTCAGTGCAGTGGCCAGGCTCCTCCCTCCGTGCCCAGCTGTGCTCCCTGAGAGCACACGGGCCTCTGCTCTCCTGTGGCCTTCACTGTGCTGTTCTAGAAGATTCTTCATTCTCAGTCTTTGAGCAGGAATTGCGGGTGGGTAGGGGAGCTGTTCTTTGGTGCATATGCCCGCTCCCTAACCAACCCAGATGTTGTCATGGAGGTTGTGTCCCTTGTTCCTACCCATGCAGCCCATCCCACTCCAGGCCTCTCTCTACTTCTTTCACTTCTTTCCAGGAGGCCACAGGGGTGTTATGGCCCAGCGTCAGCACCATGACTGTCCACTGAGGGCTTAGTAGGCCAGGGTCAGGTTGGGGAAATGACAGTGATTCGTCCCCAGAGGTGCTAAGCAGAACCGAACAGCCTGACAGCAGCAAGAGTATTAGCCCTTGGGTCTCATCCAATCCAAGGTGACGATTCCGAGACAGTGACCCGTGGTCGCTGTCCCTCTGTGCTTGCTAAACCTACACCTGCACACCTCTGCCTCCCCACTTCCACCCCAGGAAAGGCCAGAGGGGCAGGTGAATGGGAAGAAGCTGTTCTGTTTGCCTGCTTGCCTTTCGCTCTCACAAGCCCCCGCCCTCAGCTCCTCGGGTCCTGTCGCCTCCCCCTGCTTCTCAAAGTCCCTTGTGAGGGAGCTGGGCCTGCTGCTTCACTTTTTTTTTTAATGGAAGAGTAGCACACATGGGTACAGAAACAAACACACAACCTAAATGTGCAACTCAACCACTAGCCAGTGCCCAGGAGACCAGACTGGAGCTTTCACCAGTCACACCTCAAAAAGTGTTCAAGTTCATGTCATTGGCACACATGTCTACCCTTGGAATGACTGAGTCCTAGGAATACGTGGAATACATCCTAGGATATCCAGGAAACTGCCAGTTGCCTAGGTGGTTGTGGGAGTTGAGTCTTGGGGTTCTTTTGAGGGGTCAGCTGCTCCTATGGGGATGGCTGTGACACACTCCAGCCGGCTGCCTTACAGAAGAGACCCACTTTTACCCCCCACCCCTCGCCCATGGCATACTGCCCCCTATAGGGCTGGAGAAGGCACTGAGGATGTGTGCCAAGCCAGCTGGTTGGACCAGAGGTGGGAGCTGGGGACTCGTGAGGAAGGCTTCCCTGGGGGAAATGACATGGGTAAGAGCTGGACTTTGTGACATGGCTACAGCTGAGCTGCTGCAGAAGCATAGAGAAGGACCCCAGTTTGTTTTAAGTCCAGGAACCCCAAGAGGATATAGATGTGGGCAGGACAAAGGGGATGGAGCTTACAGATGCTAGGGAGAGATGCAGCAGCAGGCCCTGAAGGTTTTCTGTGGGGCCCAGGGCACTTAGGCTATGGCCTCTGAGTCAGCATATGTTAGACAGAGATACTGGGTTCAAGCTGCTGCCCCAGGTTCCTCACAGGCAGTCACAGAGGGACCAAGTCCTATACAAGTCCCACTCCCACCCCTATCCCCCCACACACACCATACACACAAAGCAAAGGGTTCCTCCTTGTCCTTGTGGGCCTTCCCTGGGGAGCACAACTGCTTCCCTCCAAGAAGGCTTTGGGTCATTCACTGAGTGTGCATGTGTGCATGGTTACAGAATGTTCTGGGTATTAATAGCACAGAAGGGGCTGGAGGGTCAGGAATGGGGTAAATCAGGCATATCTAGGGCTCAGGAGACCAGTGGCCTAGCAGGTGGAATGCAGGTGCCTCAGCACCACCAACTACTGCAAGGGTCTACTCAGGAGATGGGCCCTAGAAGCCGTAGGCCTCAGGTCATGCTTAAATGCAGGCTCAGCATGGGATAGCAACTTCTCACAGCAGGGCCTGGCCCCTGGGATAGGAGCAAACCCACGTGCCCCAGCACAGCCAGGCAGGCAAAAGCCCTTGCAGAGAACTGGGCTCTGGGGAAAAACAGAAACTCATGTCCAGTCTTCAGGTGGACACTGACCCAGCACAGATGGGGATGTCTGGGGTTTTGTGGGAATGGTTACCCTTGCCCCCAAGGCATCGGGCTGCACAAATTATTCCAGCCCCCGCCAGGCACAAGGCCTGAGGCTGCCCACATCTACTTGCATTGTGCCATGGTCTCTGATCGTCCTTCTCTGCCCACCCTGGCTCTAGGGAGGCCCCATCCAGAACCGGAAGTCCAAGCGCTGCCTGGAGCTGCAGGAGAACAGCGACCTGGAGTTTGGCTTCCAGCTGGTGCTACAGAAGTGCTCAGGCCAGCACTGGGGCATCACCAACGTCCTGCGGAGCCTGTCGTCCTGACCCTGCCCCCTTGCTACTGTGTAGCACCTGCTGCCATGTCCTGTCGCCTGCTGTTCATGGTGGGGGGTTCGTTCGGCATCTGGGGGAGCCAGGTTAGTGTGACCCCTCCCCACCCCACAAAAAGAGCTTTTTACTTCCTATGCGATTTTCATGAAGTTTCTAGAAAGATGCAGAATGATGGGTGAGGGTATGATGTTATATACTATTTTACAACTGTAAATAGGGGACAAATGGAAAATATTTATAATGGACAATAAAAAATGATTGATTAAGAAAAGGTTTTACATGGTCACTTGGTGTTCTGCAGACATTGTGGGTCTGGCTCCTCTGACCTAGGAGGTTTTGTAACCAAAGATGTGTTTCTAGGGACCTTGCCTTCCTACAACACATCCCTAGGCATGGAGAGTGGAAACCCCTGCCAACAGGGCACATTGTTGGTGCAGGCTGCCAGCTTGCTCCATGAGGCCTGGGCAGCAAGAAGGGCTCTGCCCAGGAGCACAGTCACCCCCTGCCTCTCCCACCACAGAGTGCTCCTCACCCACCCCCATCCCTACTCCTCCACAGGGACAGCCCGATGTCTTCATTCCTGAGAAGTACCCCGCCTCTGCTGGGCCTCAGGCCACCATGCCCTCTCCCCACTCCCAGCCCCTCAGCAGTCACACTTGCCCATGTCCAGTTGCTAAGCCCACTGGCTTGGCTCCTGGCTTCCTACAGCTGCTATGACCCAGTGCCACTTGCCTGGTGGCTGGCAAAACAGAGACTCTTTACCTCGCCATCCTGGAGACTGGGAGACTGGGACTGGGATGAGCAACAGGGTCAGTTCCTGGCAAGTGTTCGGAAGGAAGACAGTCCATTCCATGCCCATGTCCTGGCTGCCGGCAGACTCAGGCCAGTGCAAAGCCGTCACCTCCTACTCCTTTATGTTTTCTGTGCATGCCTGTCTCTGCCAGCTGAGTGACCCACCTTTCTAAGAACCAGGCCAAACCCAATGATCCCACTTCAATTTGATATTTAGGGGGTGAGGATGAAGGGTGAAAACTTGCTTTTCAGGGATCCCAGTGTGACCCATCTGGCCCATTCAGGGATGGCTCCAAGACAGCCCCTCAGGGCCCGGCCTCAGCAGAACAGTGGCACTCAGCATGCCCTCTGTCCACCCATCACCTCCAGCTGCATGCTGCTTTTCACCATCCAGAGAGGCCATTCTCTGTCTGGGGACCCCCCTTTTTACTTGAGCACCACTTCCCACCCATCTTATCTCCAGCCCTCTAACTCACAGCAAATCAAGAACCAATGCCTGGCTCCAAGATGTGGGAGGGGAGGAAAGCCTCCCCTCCCACCCTGGGCAGGTGCCTATGCTGCTCACTTCCTCAACTTCTCTGTGACTTCTGTTTGGGGGGAAGGGAGTGCTGGTGGCAGGGGCGGTGGCTCCCAGCCCAGGCGGCCACCTGCTGTGGGTCAGTCATTGACAGTTGGAAACTAACCAACCTAGAAAAATCACCTTGCCCCTGGGAGACCCTGGTGGATGACAGGCCTATGGTCTTGGCCCCCTTGCCCCTGGGAAACCCCAGGGGGCGACAAGCCTGTGGTCTTGGCGCCCCTTACCCCCAGGAGACCCTAGGGGACCACAGGCCTATGGTCTCAGTCCCCTGAGGCCTCCAGCCCTATCCAGCATGGGATTCATCTTGGGTCACTGTCACAGACTCCCTGTTTAAAACAAACTTTACATCCAATTCTCCCAAAAGCCCTATGGGTCCGCTCTGGGTCACTGAGAAGATACCCAAACACCTGCTGGGCTGGTCACCCTGACAGATGTCACACAAGAAGTCCACAGCTAGAGCTGGAGCTCTTTAAGTGGAGAGGCTCCAGTGGGATTGCAGGTACTGCCCGTGCCTGTTCTTACAGCTGGGCCCCTCCCCCTCTTCACACATACTTTCTTCCCTGCCTATCTAAACTGACGTTCCCCTGCATGTTCCAATCACCATCCTTCTCTAGATGTGACCTGTTCTGTACTTTGAAATTCACTCCCAGTGCTAACCTTACTCAATCCAGCTCTCTCCTCATCTCTAAAGCACCAATCCCTTCTTCATCAGCCATGCCCAACACCCTACTCCAGTGATGCCGGAGTCTAGTCCCAAACCAGTTGCTGTAACATCACCTGATGATTTATGAGACAGGTGACTCTCAAGCCCTATTCCAGACCTGTGGGATCAGAGCCATCTATTTGATCCCCCGCAACAGGATGGGAGCCATTACCCCGCCCTGACCTGGACCAGGCCATCCCTGCCCTCCTCTTGTCCTTGCCAAAGCCTCAGCCTTCTCAACACGGTGTTCTGTCCAACACAGCCTTCAATTCAAAGTGCTCTGTGGCCCCTACACTCAGCAGCATCCCCAGTGTGGGGGACAAAGGCAGAGAGGTAGGTGGCTAGACAGCCTGGGGTAAGGCCCTGGCCCTGCTACTTATCACATGAGTAATCTTAACAAGCTGCTTAATCTCTCTGTGTCTCAGCTCCCTCCTCTTAAAAAAAAGTGGGAGATACTGACAGTTTTTGTGAAGTGGTTGAGAAAAATTCAGTGATGAAATTGATGTAAAACACAAAGAACTCTGACAGGTGCATAGTAAGCGCTAACCAGTTTTACCTACAATTATGCCCCCCCCATTGACGTCCTGATGCCCAGTGTCTGCACATCCATACACCAGCCTACCCTCATGTGTCACCATAACTGTTAACATCCAGATCCCTCCCTTCTTATGCTCACGCCCACACATGCCAATCCCTGCTTCCTGGAAGCACCTGTTCTCATTCTCATCACTGCCTCCACCCACAGTCCTAACGATGCCACACTTCCTGGCCCTCCTAGCAGGTGCACCTCAGTGCCACCCACTCCCAACAACATCTGCAGATCTGATAATAGCACCTTCCCCATAAGTTAATAGGGGGTAGTTACAGCAGCTGAGATCAGCAGCTCCTCCCCGGACACCTGTTCACTCTTTACTCCCACCCCATCCCTATCTCTGGCCAGCCTAGATATCCAGAAGGGAGATGAATGCTCGAGATGACCCTGGAGACTTCTGATTGCTGCCCCTAGAGTAGGAACCATGCAACCAGTCCCTGCTCCCTGTGTCTCACCGATGTAGAGGTAGGAGGTAGAGGCGCTGCATAGGTATGGCAGAAGCAGGAGGTCAGAGCTCAGGGAGGAGAGAGGCGAAGAAGCCCTCATCGCAGCCTCAGCTGGTGCTGCTGCAAGCTTATTAGCAGCTGTGCAAGGACTTTTGCAACAGCCTGGAGTGAAATCATTATTCTCTCTAATGACTTGCACATTAAACAACTTTGTTTCCTGCTTGCCTTGCCTTCTTTAAAACCAGAAAGAACTTTTTCCAGCCTGTGCTGGAAAGACCTCCTAAGCAGCTGATCTTGCTGCCTGGCCCACAACCCAGTTCCCACCTAGCCCCTGTCTGGCTCCCATCTGTGGGAAAAATGGAAAAAGAGTATGGGATCCCCACTTCCTGTTGGGAGAGGAGCACAACTGCCAGTAGCAGCAATGGGAGAGTCACTTTTGCATATGTTTCAGCAAGGAGCTGAGAGACCTACTTTTCCAAGTATTTTAGCAGGGAGCTGGATCAGAAGTGGAACAGCTGGGACTTGAACCAACATTCAGATATGGGATGCCAGCATCACAGGCAGTAGCTGAACCCACTACTGCACAATGGCAACCCCAGAGGGAGAAGTTTTGAGGCTGCTGCCTGAGCTCATAATTCAAGATCTCAGATGGGATCCACGAGAGTTTAGGGAGCAACATATCTCACTGTATTCCAGTGGCTGCAGAGCTATGACCCAGGGTCCACCTACTCACCAAGGCTGGGCTCTGTCCCATAGATTCAAATTCTGGGCACTGCTGTCACCTGCCCAAGCCATAGAGTTCCTCCAGCTACAATGGGGCATCAGGTGTAGCCGTGTTTTCTCAGTCCTTCCTTTGCCCCTCTCACACTCTGCCAGGACAAAAGTCTTAGGCTAGGAGGGCCAGGAAGTGTGGTGTTTCTAGGACTGTGGGTGGAGGCAGAGAGAAAGAACAGGTGCTTCCAGGAAGGGGGTGTTGGCACGTGTGGGCGTGAGCACAGGTGAGGAGGGATCTGGGTGTTAACAGCCCTCCCGTGGCCCCTCCCCCGCTCAACTCAGGATCAAAGTCTTAGGGTGTCTGTTCACCTGTTGAGTTCACTCAGATTTTGACTGGTGTCCAGGGAAAATCACAGACCCAGAAGATTCTAAGAATGATGATGATAATATCACAAACACTTACTGGACACTTTTATGGACAGGCACTTTGGTAAGTACTTGATTATTTTCTCCTTCAGTACTCATTATAAACCTAGTAGGTAACGCGGTTCTTGTCACCCTCATCTTAGAGTTGACAAAACTGAAACACAGCAAAGCCAAGCCATTCCTTTTTTATTCTTCATTTTTAATTGTACTGGAAAGAGAAAGAGAGAGATCTCATCTCTGATTCTCCTAAATGCCTTGAAGATCTGTGGCTAGGCAAAGCCAAAGCCAGGAACCAAGAACACCACTGACGTCTTCCCATGTGCGTGGCGGGCACTGACGTCCTTGCACCATCGCTTGCCTCCTTAGCAGGAAGTTGGATCAGAAGCAGAGGCATGGCCTGGCACAGTAGCCTAGTGGCTTAAGTCCTCGCTTTGCACACCCCAAGATCCCATATGGGCGCCAGTTCTAATTTCAGCAGCCCCACTTCCCATCCACCTCCCTGCTTGTGGCCTGGAAAAACAGTCGAGGGCAGCCCAAAGCCTTGGGACCCTGCACCCACGTGGGAGACCCAGAAGAGGCTCCAGACTCTTGGCTTCAGATTGACTCAACTCTGGCCATTGTGGCCACTTGGGGAGTGAACCAGTAGGCAGAAGATCTTCCTCTTTGTCTCTCCCCCTCTCTGTATATCTGATTTTCCAATAAAAATGAATAAATCCAAAAAAGAAAGGAAGGAAGGAAGGAAGGAAGGAAGGAAGGAAGGAAGGAAGGAAGGAAGGAAGGAAGGAA